AGACAATATTAGGGAAGCCGTCACTAATCACGGCATCAAGCTGTCATCCACACTTTTTGGAGGACATGAAAAAACTTCCAGAAAACCACCACAAAAAATTGCAAATGATAATCCATGATTATTACAAAGACACTATCAAAGCCTATGTTTATTTCCAAGAGAGAAAAAATATCATGGTCCCCATGTAGCTGCCTGAAAAAAAAAAAAAAATTAGGCGAGGTTCACATTAGGAATAAGAGAAAAGCAACAGGGCAATTAATGAAGATTACCTAAGGTTGGGAAGGTTTCTCTATTGCTGAAAGGATTAAAATCATTAACAGATGGCAATGTAAAACCACTAATTCATCCAGCCATTGAATACAAATGTAAGACATAACATTGCTATGCTTGCCAAAAATATTCATGATGGCTATAGTATAAGTTACAACAATAAAGTTAAAAGCTTGCTTACCGGATCCGTGGTGAAGTTTGTATAAAGTGTTAACTGGAATAAAACAAAATTCTAATCTATTGTGAAATATGAATCTAAGGGTACTTATGTGCATATTCTTTCAAAAACATATTCCAGATATTTTAAATGTCTCCCTAAATGCTCACTGCTACTTCCTACCATCAGAGGACAGATATCATTATCAAATACAATGATAAAATAATGCCCTCTGTAATAAAATGACTATTTTCTATTTATCACTATTTAAAGAAAAGTTTGCACTAGTAAATTCTATAAGTGCTTGAGGATAAAGAAATGCTGGCAGTTATACCACAGACTACTTTGCATGCTTTAGTACAAGGACCAGCTCAACTCTTATGCAGCAAAACGATGAGATTTCTTCTATTACCATCTCTTGGTTTGATCCTCAAATCAAACCTTAAATTTTTCTGTTTTTTTTCTTTTTTTTTTCTTTTTTAATGGATAATACACTGGTTTTACCTAGTTTACATTTTAACTGGAATGTAAATAAGCAGCCATCCTATTCTGAAGACAGTAACATTTCAATTTATCTGGAAAAATAAGTGATTTTATGACACAATAATGCAAGCTGCAATGCCTCATTTAGAGAACAAATGCATTATTCTGGTAAAGTATTGCAGAATTGGCTTCATTTGCGAAGTATTGATATTATAACATTATTGTCTGATATGAGATACGCTCTGTGGCAAATCCCAACGTATCACATCATACAACACCTGCAAAACACCTGCACACTCCTGGGTATGACAATAACAAATAGTTAATAACCCACTGGGTTTACACTTAGTAAGATAGTCTATATTCTACTATACTAACCGCCGCCCCCCCACCCCCCCCCCCCCCCCCCC